TTTAGCACAAAGTTTTTCACTGGCAACAAAAATTTATCTTCAGGGACCTCTTTGGGGAACTTGGGTTAGAACACAGTATTCATCGGATACAAGGCCTATTACCCCCAGACGTGAGATGCATATTCTTTCCTAGCTCACTGTCTTGTTCAGAGTAATAATGTTAACAGGTGTATGTACATGAATGTGTTACTGAGCTGCAGAACATTTATACCTAAGAAAGTATTTTTATTGAAACAGATAAAAGCATCAACTGATGAGGCAATTTAGAAAAGAATTCAAGAGATAAAATAATTATATTTCTCTACTCTGGCTCTGCAATAGGGTACTGAAAAGATTTTATACTACGAGGTTAAAAGAAATCAAGACTCTTGTATCTCTATATGAAATATGGTGGTATATACCCCAGGATAGTTGGTTTACACAGACTAGGAAAAGACTCCCTAGGAAAGCAAAAAATTGAAGGCAAAAATTCATTTTGGGATTCTTAGCCAATAAGACCTGGGAATCATAACCAGTAACACTTGAAGACCATCCAATTAACTTTCATATTTATTGTTAATAACTAAAGGCAAATATGCAGAACCAGAATAATTATCACCAGGGATCATTTCATAGAAAAAGAGGTACAGGATATCATTAGCATAACTCATTAGCATAACTTATTTGCATATGCCACACCCCCTGACATCACCAGAAGTGTGTCAGAAGGCAACACCTACCGCTCAGGCTCCACTGGACTGTTTTGGATTGCTAGCAATTGGGTGGGGGGGAGAACGTGCAGATCTGTCCTCGCAGAGGAGGGAGAGCTTGTACCTGAATAAAACTTGGCCTTAAAACTTGGTCATGTGCCTGCCCCCTCAGCTCCTCACTACCGGAGCGCTGCTCCTCCGCGCTCCAGCCCCAACCAACCCCTGATTATCACCAAGATAGTTATGTTCTTTAACAGCCACTACTTGGCAGGACATTTACCAGTCAGTCACTTTAATAAAGCTAGTAGGAAGTATTTGGATTTTGAAAGGCCAATGGGTGTGAGCCCAGCTGACAGAGGCTAACTTGCTGCTTCCTGGATGATAAACAGTCCAGCGTGCTTTTGCAGCAATCTTAGAGTCAGTTTTAACTGATCAAATGCACATTAACATTTATTTTTCACCACCATGGGATAATTCACATGTCACACGTAAAATGTTATGTTGAACTGAAAAATACAACACATGTAAACTAACATACATATTTAGCACCACATATCATGAGTACATGCACAATGGGGGTCAGGCACAACTGTAAGAGATGTCCATGTGGCAGAGATCAAAAGGAGTATCATGACATGTCTGCAACAGAAGACGAGTGTCTCTCAAATGTCATCCTGAACCCTCATTCCCCAAATAAAATTCTGCCAGAGCTAAAAGAAATGTTAACAGATGAAACTGACCATACAATCTCATGCAGGGTTACTCCAGCTGAAGCCCCTTCAATGTGCTTGACTGGACCAACTCTGAGAAAAGAAGATGGTTCTCTGAATATTGTTTAGCTATTCCAGTGTGAAATGCTATGCACACAAGTCTGAGGAAGCCATAGTCTGCTCAAAGAAACTCAGGCAATTCTCTCAATTTATTAGAACATGCCCAGTGACTGGAATAAGGAGTAACATGTGCCAGCAACAATTCATTTCATTTCTGCCAAAGGGCTCACCACCTATAAACACAGAGCGATATCTATTTAAGAAAATGATACTTCTCCAAAAACTAATTAGCTCTCTAAACTCTTCAAAATACTTCACACACTACTCAATCTACAACACTGTTGCTACCTCATATAGTTCTGTTCAGAGTTTGAATTAGCCAGTTTGATTAAGAGTAGTAGGATGAGCATCTTCCAATTAAACCACAACTAAGATATTGCCATGCTGTCTTACATGAGGAACTGCTACCCCTAAATGTGGATACCTTTCAGTTACAGAAGCATGTCTCCTAACAAAATTACCCCAAAGAAACAAAATTAGGGCTTAAGGGTACAAAGATAAAATTAAGACGGAGCATGGAAAGAATTTCACTACAAACCAAATACCAACCTATGACAAGAAACACAACAAATTAAACCGTAATATATACTTTAATACGGCTGCGGTGGGTCAGTGGTTAAGACACTGAACTGCAGACCAGAAGGTCAGTAGTTCAGCAGTTCGAGACCTGAGTGCCTCATGACAAAGTGAGCTCACATCTCTGGTCCCAGCTCCTGCCAACCTAGCAGTTCGAAAGCAAGAAATTGCAAGTAGATAAATAAGTACCACTTTGGTGGGAAGGTAACGGCATTCCATGTGCCTCGGCGTCTAGTCATGCCGGCCACATGACCACGGAAACGTCTTCGGACAGCGCTGGGTCTTCGGCTTGGAAACGGACATGAGCACTGCACCCCTAGAGTTGGGTTCGACTGGCTTTCGAGCAAGGGAAACCTTTACTATATAATTTAATATAGTTATGGGGTACATGTCACAGCATGTTTATATCAAAAGTAATGTTAAATGAATGAAAATCTTTGACCTCCAAGTCTGTTTCGTGTTCTACAAAGCGCACAAGTCAAGCAACAGCATTTCTTCATCTTCTGATCAACAGAACTACACACTCAATTCTATTGTAAGCAAAAGCATGCTTCCAAAGTGTGGAAAAGCCAGAGGCAACTAAAATGTCCATAGTTCGGTTTCCCGCAACCATAACAAAAATATTACTGAACCAGAGAACATGGAGGGGGAAAATGAGATAGAAAAGCCTGGGGAAGCTGCCTTGGTGTCCTATTGGCCCGTCCCACTGGCTCCTCCATTCTTACACCCCAACTTTTGACGCATTACACCCTGGAAGTTGTAGTTCTTAGCTGGCCTTACTGCAACTATAGCAAAGGGAATTAGAACTACAACTCCCAAACTGGGAGTCCCAAAAGGCCGTGGGGCATTAGCAGGAAGTCAGTTAGTTAATCAGTTAAAGTGTTAAACAGGAAGCAGTTTTGGAATTGAAAGGAGCTGGAGGGAAAAGGAAAGCCTGGACATCTCTCTGAATTACAATTGATCTCCAGTCTTCAGAGATCAGTCCCCATGGAGAAAATGGTTGCTTTGGAGGATGAGCTCTACGGCATCATACCTCACTGAAGTCCTTCAACAAACCTGGCCCTCCTCTTAGTATTGCCAACCTCCAAGCAGCACCTGGAGATCTCCAAGATCAGTTCTCCTGGAGAAAATGGATGTTTTGGGCAGTGGCCTCTATGGCATTATACCCTGCTGAGGTCCCTCCCCACGCCAAACCCAACCCTGCCCTCCCCAGGCTCTACCCCTCACATTTACAGGTATTTCCCAACCCAGAGTTGGCAACCCTGTAAGTGGCTACAGAACTGCTTTCCAGACCCTTGAAACCCAGAAAACATGGCATGCGGCTCTCCTTCCATACTACCCAATTGGGGCAGCAAAATGACTTGACACAGCCCTGCCTTATAGCTTAGCAGAAGGAAATAAACATGGCTCACCTCCCTTTATTTTCCCCTTCCCTCGCGACCCCACCAGTCACAGCTGGGACACTTACCTGGAGCCTCTTTCTAGAGCTCATTGTAGTTTTTCTCACAACAGGCCTTACTCCCAGTTTAGAATAAAATTACAGCGATTCCTTTAAAAATGCCACTTTCTACCACAGGAAAGAGAGATAAACTTGCCAGCTGCTGAAATGTCACTGCAGACAATATGCAGGTTCAAAATGTATTCTGACACACACTGCTGAGTCAAAGGAATACAGCCTACAGTACAATTATGTAATGCAAGCTGTGTTACTGTACAGCACAGCCAGTTTTAGCTTTCTCATTCTCATAGTTCTTCCTAGCAATGACACCCAACATGTTTCAAAACAGAAAAGTTAAAGATTGCAGAGAACTGTCCTCAACAGTCACAGTTACCTCAACTTCTATGAGAAAATCTATCAACAACCCAAGCAGTCATTACTTTCTACCAACAAATGGCCAAGCACAGCAATATTTGTTATTTGACAGAAAAACTAAGACAAAGTTCTCAAATTAAGGCCTCTTTCTTATAACATCCTTATACTAATACACAAGTTGCCCCCTCCGTGCTGATATCTATATCTGCACTTTGGGGGCACTTGGGGGGCAGGGGGAGGTTTGTGCACATGTGGGGCAGTCCCCACATGTGCACAAAAATAAAAAAAGTCAAAAAAAAATTCGGGGGGATGTTTAAATCCCCCCGAAAGTGCAAGAGCGTCTCCTGTGCGTGCCTCG